TCGAAGCACCTATACACTTGATGAAACACTAAGTTGGGATGCACATATTGAAACGATTTGCAAAAAAGTTGGGGCAGTGAAGGAATGTTAAAACGCATCAAGCCCTACATTCCCGCAAAAATGTTGCAATCAATTTATAGCGCTTTGATACAACCTTTATATTTCGATGATTGCTTTCCACTTTGGGATTCAAATCGGGTAGCTAGAATAATAGCTGGTGCTAGCTATGAGATCAAAGCTGGTTGCTGTAAATGGGACTGTTTCTATGACCCTTCAAAAGATACCAAACATTCGGGGAGATTTGGTTCGCAATGACTCCAAGTGGGAAGAGTGGAATTACGTTCAACTTATACTGAGGCCCTCAGACTGTGGACACGACGTAATCCAATTGAAGCCAAGCAAGTTGATCCAAACGAGAGAGAGAGAGCGGCGAAATCAGTACCATCTCCAGACACAGCAAGGGAAATCCAAGCAAAAACGAGTTTCTGTATATTGCAACACAGAGAGCCACCGATCGACCGAATGTGATTCAATCTTGACATTAGACGAAAGAAAGAAACTGTTGGCAACGACGAAACTGTGTTTCAACTGCACAGTGTTACGTTCGCGGGCGAGAACGAACAAAAATGTATGTCTACATCTTTATCATCTTTACGCTCGTTGCCCTCCTTGACCAGACACAGCGACACGCGCTGGCCAAGGAGGCTTTCTTGTATTTGGAATATCCTTATCCAACAATATAAATTTATTCTTCTTGAACAACAACACTACAAATTACTATTTCTAATCCTTTCTAATAGTTTTATCTAGCTTAAGCTTTCTTTGCTTATATACTATCCGCAAGATATTAATAGAACATTACATAAATACTATTTTTAGATATTACGTAAACGATAAATATAGCAAAAGCATGAATCAGCATAATGACGTAATGTCTTAAATTAAGAATGTTTATGACGTGACTGACTTCACGTCACAACAGGGCCTTCCCATAGGGCATCAGAGTGCAGAAGTACATCAACCTGCAGACATTGTAACAAAAGACATCATACGTCAATTTGTAATGCGCCGAAAGAGTCTAAGGAAGCAGCGATGACTGCCAAAAAACAAGAAGACTAGGAGGTGATATATCCTATCGTACTCTTGTCGAAGTTGAAGGAATTAAAACCCATGCGCTTCTCGACACTGGAGCTGGTAGTTCCTATGCCTCGACCAACCTGATCAATGGTCCAAAGAAAAGACCCAAAGAAGTGAAGACAAAGAGAATAGAAATGATGCTGACGTCATCAACAACTCGAATCGAGATATATTCGGCAAACCTCAAGTCGCTGGACCACAAATTCGACATGAACGTTGAACTATCGAAAGTAGACAAGTCAGAGCTGATGACGGTCAAAAACCCACGGTATGCAACGTCATTGGAGAAGTATAGCCAACTTAGGGGTGCAAAGCTTGATGATCCTGACAATCGTCCAGAAATCGCAATCCATGTAGTCATCGGCGCAAGTGATAATGCAATGATTAAACCGACAACAGCCCAAAGAGTCTGGTTGCCAGGCCAACCAATTGCAGGGAAAACACTCCTTGGATGGACAGTCGTGTCCCCTGGAAGAGAAGAGGTAGACAGCCCAATTCTATTAACCAAATCCGCCAACACGGACTATGAACAGCTGTGTACGTTGGATGTTCTAGGTTTTGGCGACAGTAATGAGAACGACCAGCAGACAGTCTACCAGGAATTTAAGGAGCAACTACGCAGAAATGACGCAGGATGGTATGAAGCCAAATTACCTTGGAAAGGGAACCACCCCCCTCTACCCACCAATGAAGCTGAGAGTAAGCGACGCCTAGATCACCTGATAAGGAAATTGGAGCAGACAGATCAGTATGAAAGATACGACGAAATTATGCGAGAACAACTACAACTCGGGATTATCGAAGCAGCGCCAGAAAAGGCTACGGGAAAAGAGTTCTACATTCCACATAAAGGCGTGACCAGGAACGATGTAGAAAGTACCAAGCTACGCATAGTGTATGACGCGTCAGCGAGAGAAAGCAACACAGCCATCTTTCTTTAAACGACTGCCTTCATCCAGGGCCCCGGCTCCAAAACCACCTATGGGACGTTTTAGTAAAATCACGCACTTACCCAATCCTCGTTACCGCCGACTTGAAGAAAGTCTTCCTGTAAATCCGAATTATGGAAGAAGAAGGGGACTCGTTGCGATTCCACTGGAAGCATCCAAACTCTAGTGAAATTGAAGTGTACCGTTTCACCCGAGCGTTATTCGGTCTCACATGCTCGCCATTTCCCCTCGGAGGTGTGCTAAACCAACACCTTGACAATTGGATGGAGCGATACCAAGAGATCGTTAAGGAACTGCGTGAAGCAATATATGTCGACGATCTAATGAGCGGTGGAACAACTGTTGAAGAAACCGGGCAAAAGAAAGCAGCTGTTGTTGAAGTGTTTGAAGATGCAACGTTTAGAATCCATAAATGGCATTCTAACGCGCCAGAACTTGAGCCGACTAACGAAGTACAAACAGAACCCGAAGAGATAACCTACGCCAAAACCATATACCTGCCGGGTCCATATACCTACCTGATTCACATCCATTCGCAGCTAAAGTGGTATTTCAAGCTCACGTAGCTACCATCCGTAGAGGGATCGTGATCACGATGGCAAAAGTCCGAGAACGGTACTGGGTACCACGACTTCGCCGGTTGACAAAAACGATTATGAGAACATGTCATGGATGTAAGCGGTTTCATACGAAAGCCTACCGAGACCCACCACCTGGAAGCCTACCAACCACGAGAACCCAAAGAACTACACCATCTCAAGTACTTGGTGTTGACTTCGCAGGCCCAGTACGGTATTCACTGAAGTCCAAGAAGGAAGCAAAGGCTTACCTCGCCCTATATGCATGTAGTCTTACAAGAGCTGTACATTTAGATCTAGTGAAGTCATTAACTGCTCCAGAATTCATTATCAGTCTAAAGAGATTTATCGCACGCAGAGGAAGACCCGAACTGATTTATTCGGATAACGCGGCTACATTCCAAGCTGCTGCCAAGTGGGCGAAAGAAGTAAGAGAAGACGAAAAGCTTAATGATCTACTAGCCAACCTCTCCATCGAGTGGCGATTTAACCTAAGCCGTGCTCCTTGGTGGGGAGGGCAATTCGAACGTCTGATTGGGGTGTTCAAAAGTGCTTTTCGTAAGTCAGTCGGCAATGGTAATTTGAATTGGACGGAGCTTGAAGAAGTGGTCCTAGATATCGAAAACACCATAATAATCGGCCACTAAGCTATGTAGAAGACTATCTAAGATCGATCTTCGAGAATACATTCGAAGTCTTCGAGAACATCACCGCCTGACGGGGAATAACGAAACATCCCATCCTAAAGTTGGAGATGTTGTGATCATTAAAGAAGATCAGAAACCCAGAAACGTGTGGAAACTAGCGATGGTAAAGCAATTAATCACGGGGAGAGACAGCATCGTGAGAGCTGTGAGGTTGAAAACTGGAAAAGGTCATTTAGAGCGGGCAATCCAACATTTGTTTCCGCTGGAGTTAAGTTGTGATGTGGAAGAACCAAGTCAGCTAAACCCAGAAGCTCCAGAGTACAACCCTCGACCACGAAGACAAGCCGCAGCCATAGCTTCACAACGAATTCAAGAAATCGTAAGACGAAAACGAGGAACATTGACATTGAACATAAACGTTTAACATTCATATTTAACCAAATTCTAAGAACGTTAATGTAGACATTATTTGTTGAGTACAAATGGACTCACCTAAGTTCACCCAGTCCAAGAATTTGCATGTATATGTCAATTGAGAATATACATGGGGGAGTGTGATGGGAACTGGGTATAGCGGAAGTTACAAACCGGATTTAGAGAGGGCGTTGTGCATGTACAAAGTAAGCCATTACAACATTTCTTAATTATGAAAACGGTCAAAACAATGAAGGCCGTGTTATTACCACAATTCTTAATTATAAATTAAGAATTGCAACAAAACGCAAGCCCCACATCTCTCTTTTGACTAGAAAACGCTGCACGTCTCTGAGTCAAGAAAGGGACAACAGCCGTGTACCTCAGAGCCCGTCAAACTCTACCGTTAGGAAGAGTGCCGTATTTACTCGTTTGAGCTCCGCGGCGCTCTTTAAATTTTCAGAGCTTCAGATGCGGCGCTCAATCGGGGGCGGCGCTCTTTAAAAAATCTTTTATTTGTGAATTATATCAAGAACTTTTATCAATAAAATAAACAAGTTTTGAATGTCTTTGTCACAAGAAGACGCCTTTTGTACCAGTAGAAACACTTAAGCTAATATATAATGCCCTGGTGCAACCGTACTTTGATTATTGTAGCCCTCTTTGGGGCAATTGTGGGAGTGGTCTTAGGGAAAAGCTTCAAAGATTGCAGAATCGTGCTGCGAGAGTTATCACGGGGTCTACTTTTGATAATCGATCTGATGATGTGCTGAATATGTTAGGTTTGGAATCCTTAGACCAGAGATGCAATTATACAAAATCTATTTACATGTATAAAATAATTAATGACCATGCCGCCCCAAATTTAAAACAACTATTTCGACGATGCAGTGAAGGCGATTCCCCTTATGATCTTAGGAATCGTGAAAATGATCTAGTATTACCAAAACCAAAGAAAGAATTTCTTAAAAGAAGTTTTAAATACAATGGAGCTATCCATTGGAATAATCTGTCTATTGAAGCAAAAAGCGCTGATTCCGTTTATTCATTCAAGAGAATTATAAAATCTACGGCGAGGTGAAGCTGACCTGTCCTCAATAATATTTATTTGTTTCGTTTATATATTTTTGTCTACCTGTTAGTCTTTGTATGCTTCATGTAACTTTAATTTGTACATATTATTTGTGTAATTAGTTAGTTAACACGCCCCTCATGAAAAACAGCTGATGTTGATGAGGCTAGCGTGTCAAAATGAAGTATTATGTATGTATGTATGTATTTTGACGCGGAAAATTATTACACTGTTTAGTGTGGCGCTCATTCGGGAGCGGCGCTCTTTAAAAAAATTTGCGCCGCTCTTTAAAAAAATTTGCGGCGCTCATTTGGGGGCGGCGCTCAATCGGGGGCGGCGCTCAATCGGGGGCGGCGCTCAATCGGGGGCGGCCCTCAAACGAGTAAATACGGTAACTATCATTCGGCGCACGAGGACTAGCTGGATCAACCGATTCAACCGCCAAGCTTGCTTGTGCACTCAGGGAATTTATACAGTAATATCTGCTCTTTCGCTTGTGCGACGTGAAATGATATACTGCGCATGCTTAACCACATTACAGCATATGTAATGCGCATGTTAAAGTTTATTAAAGTGACATGGTCTGAAAGATTATTGAAACATACAGTAGACTAGTAAAACAATAGACTATTGTCGATTGAGAAGTAACGATATTATATAATTAATCAACTGAACTTTTCTTCAATGCTAACAGTATCTATGAAAAATTACCATTGCTATATTCCCAATTATGGTTCAACATTACATATGGTTCAGCATTACATACAGTAATGGATTAATGATTCCATATTTGTGTGGGATTTTTTTACTCTAGTATACAATAAATACAATCAAAACAAACAAATAGGTATGTTCGGGGTTCGTTCGAGTGAGGCCAAAACTGCGGCTGTTTTTAATATCTATTTCAAACAGCCGCAGTTCTGATGATGTCGTTGACGACGAAAGCTTAGATACTCATAGATAATAAAGACCTTTTTTTAAAGTGTTTTAATGTCTATTTCAAACAGCCGCAGTTTTGGCCTCACTCGAACGAACCAGAACATAGTACTTATATCTAATATGCTGCTGAAGGACAACTTTAAACGCCTTTTAAACAAACGAATCTCCAACTTTAAACTTTGATATACATGGCAGAAGTATATGTCTGAGTTAGTCACGAGTGTTATTGCGACGCTACTGTACAAGTATGTATCCAAACGCTGCAGTGTCCTTATCATTTTTTGGATTAGTACAAAAAGCCATTATATTACCGCACGCGGTATTTCTCACATCGCCATCACATCCACGTACCGAAGTACCGAAGCCAATACACGAGTCACAACTCTTGCAGTCGTTTTGATTATTTGCCACTAATCCAATCCGTACATTGTTGTAAGCAAATGCATAGCCTGTGTTTCCGTTGAATAGATTGAACCCTTGTTGATTACAGTTGTTTTGCAAATAAGAATCCTTGACCAAAGACTTCCATGCGTTCTTTTCAACGGTTGTAATTGCTATGAAATTTCCGCCTGCGATTACATTGAACAGCGAACTTGCTTGGTGACCGATTAAAATCCATTTTGTAGCACCATCGACTTTCATTCCGAGGCATAATTTGTTAAACGGTGTGTTCCAATAAGAAGCAAGTTTTGTTTGCTTTTCATTCAAACCTTCAAGTCCATCTTCAACTGCGTAGGTTTCCTTGTTTGTCCAGTAAGGAGAGCTGTAGTTGAATTCATTCTGTAAATGAAACTGCTTATCTATTCTGTATATAATTATTAATTTATCACATATACTATGTATTGTTCTTAAAATTAATTTGCACCTTGGATGATCT